CTGTCTCTGATCGAGCTGGCGACCGTGCCCATACCCTCGATATCATTCTGACTTTGGTCTCTTCTTTTCCCTCAGACTTCTGTACTGTCCCTGTTCTTACGCTACCGGATAATTGCATTGTTTCTTACTCTATCAAGTTAACTAACCCCGAAAAGCCATCAATCTCGAAACAAATTCTCCGCTACAGCTCATCCAACTAGGACCGTTTTTCAAGGTTTCCTAGAATTTTATACACAGAATGAGTATTTCTCTTTGGATGTTTCCAAAGCTGCGTCCATCTTCATCGACATTGCTCGTCATTTCACATTTTCCGAACCCGAAAAACGCAAACCTCCCGAGTGGTTTAATCACGCATGTGGTTGTATTGTACGTCTACAACGCTCAGCCTCCCACCGCCCGCCCATCCCCATCATCCACTACCACTTAGTGCAAGCTAGGAACAGGTGCTCACCAAAACCAATTCCCGCAATTTCTGTCCTTCCAGCCCCGTCCCTAACTGAAATTCCTCTGATGATCTTGTAAGCCAACCAGACGAGAACCCTGAGACTGTTGTTTCCCAGTTGCCACCAACCCCACCTTAACCCTACACATTCACTTTCTTTGTATTTAACTAGCAACTCTTTCCTATTTCATATTAGCAGTGGGAAAATCCAGCAAGCACTACGTTCTCTAGACGTAAACAAACCACCCAGTCCGGACGGTATTTNGTTCCCCTCCGGGGTCTACATATCACTGCTTCTCTACACTAGTTCCCTTTATATCTTTAGATTGCTTCGTGTGTTGAGCGCAAGATTGGTCTTCTATTCCGCTTAATAAACTTCTTCATCCCAGCTCACCTCCTACGATGCAAAGCTCAAATCCACTCAGCTCTCGAATACTGCAGTCATGTGTGGAATGAGGCTTGGCCTTGTTTTCTTTTCCTTCTTTATCGTGTTCAACGAAAGGTCCTNGTTATTTCACTGTCCCTTCTCTATCGTTATTAATTTGTTTGTTTGTTTTTTTGTTCTTCGGGGCTTGCCTCGGCAGTGTTTCTTCCTGTAACTTTGCCCGCCCATCCCGTACAAAGCCCGCTAGTCATCCTTGTCAGATTTTCCTTACCAGATGCCGTGCTTCTTTGCTCCAATCTCTTTTATTCACCGTACTGGCAAATTTTGGAACGTCCTCCCACTTTCTATAGTCCCTCCAACTTACGACCTTACACTCTTTAAAAGCAGAACCAATAAACTGGGTCCTAAATAAATGTTCCCATACTCTCCTTTTTAAAGTATACTCTTTGTCTACGGGGATTTACCCCTTCATTAGGACTCATACTGTGTAATTTCAAAAAAATTCGACTTAATTCGAAATTGAATTGTACTTCATTATAGCCATAGCTCTTCTTTGATTGATCGGTTCGACTACTTTCATTCAGCCGTTTTGAAAGTGAGACTTATCGCGACCCGGGGATGGAACTGAGATCTGTAATCCAAACGGATAAATAACCCCACACATACTGTGCATGACAGTTCAACGGCGAACTAAGTTTACTACAACCGGAATCAAACAGACAAAGGTCGCTGGAAGAGAACCTATACTAGTGAACGGATTGAAGCAGAACACTGCCATCCAACAAATACGGAAGATTTCACCTCACCTGTTGATGAAATGTTTGCAAACAGATTGATCGGTGAACGGACGGAAATGAAAATGGAAATCGATTCGGTGAGGTGTGGTATCTCTTTGGTACTCTGTATGGTCACGGAAAGAAGATTGTGTTGTGTGTTCATGATATTGTGTTTATTCTCTAGAAGAAACCCGGTATTTGTGCTGTGCTACTATGGAATATAACAAACGAACATGTGGGGATATATATATATATATGTTAGTTATAAGAAGTCATTCACTAGACGATGAACCAATCACTGAATTCATTGTCTCTTTTAGAATCAAACAATCGATAGGTGTGTTCAGGTTTCCGCCTGCTGATGAACGTGACTGAAAAACAAAGGAATGCATGGTGTGGCCAAATTTCAAGGGCAAGAAGTGGATCACATAATGCTGTACAATCTTAATCATACAATTGGCTCTTTTTAGCTTAAATGGAATGGCTACAACAGTAGTGGTTTATCTAGCACATGAAAAAGATCATTAGGAAACGAACAAGTCTGTGGCGACACAAAGGTCAAGAAAACAAATACGGGATTAATGGTGCGTGTACTGTGTGAATAGGCGACTTGGCAAACATTAATGACATCCCGGTCAGGAGTCCATGTCGGTTTATTGTGTACGAGTAAGAAAAGATATGCCGCACCATTTCAGTGATGAAATGATAAGGATTGATCCGAAGGATACCCTCAAATCCCACAGGGAACACTGATCGCTGCTCATTTTTAGCCATTGGGTGCCGTCGTAGGAAGGTGTTTATCAACCCAAGTATTTTTCGGTAGCACGTGGCATTGCTTAGTCTAGTACTGCCCACATCCAAGTTGTGGCCATTCGATCAATTTTATTGTACCAAGAAACAGACTTAGTTTTTAACTGATGGGACGAGAGAGTCCTAAGTGATGATATTTACAATTCCCACCGATACGTCAAGTTCGACTATTTGCATTGAATGGATTAACTGATCGGAAGGGAATAAAATGATTACACTGCCTTCGACAGCTCAGACGTGAAATATTTCCATCTGCCCATCGACTTCCGCGCCTACTATTGTACTACCCGTGCTCGGTTGGAATAAGTGTTAGTTCACGAAGAACTTAATTGCACACTGGTCTTAGTTGATCTTTCCCGATAGCACACAGTCGAGTGCGTAAAAATAGAATGACGTTGGTGAAAAGCTCTTTGTCTATACATGACACTGCACGATAAGCGAATTAAAAGTGGCGCAGTCGGTCTGGTGAATGAAACAAGTAGCACAGTATGAGAAGGAATGCCGTTGGCTGTCACTTTCACGTGTTTTCAAACTGCTACCTACGCACAATAAATAGAATGAAATTTTACAGTACCATAGTTTCACTTTATAAAACAATTGTCAATGCGTCATTGTGCGGCAGTTCCGGTTGCCGTCTTTTGGCTGCCCATCTAAAACAAAAAGTGAAGGAAGATTTGAATGTTCAAATCAGCTTCAGAGTGAACATAGCGAATTCATGAAGACTAAGGCTGTAACGAAATTGCAACATGCACGAGCGCCATCGTTTAGAACATTCCNCCATGTCAATCCGTGTCTCTAACTATCGGCTACGCTGATCCCGAAGTCCCTATTCACGGGGTTAATACTTAATTACCAGTCATTTGGGGCTCAGCGAAAGAACAGTCGAGAAGAAGAAAAGACGTGAGCATAGAAAAAGTTACGTGATCAAAACTAGTACAGAGAGAACGATAGAAATTTGAAGGTGGTTAAGTAACACCGAAAGGGAGTATTATTCGTGTAGATAAACTTTTCAATTGAATAGGAAA